TTAAGAGACAACTCACTGCTGCCTATACTCCTCAACAGAACGGAGTGGCAGAACGTAAGAATCGAACTGTATTAAACATGGTTCGATGCTTGCTTTCAGAGAAGGAGATGCCTAAACTTTTTTGGCCAGAAGCAGTTCGATGGGGATTGCATGTGTTAAATAGGAGTCTAACTGTGGCAGTAAAAGAAAAGACTCCTGAAGAGTGTTGGAGTGAAAAAAAACCCAATGTCGAATACTTCAGAGTTTTCGGCTGCATTGCTAACGTGCATATTCCTGACAAGAATAGAGTAAAGTTAGATGAGAAGAGTCATAAATGCGTGTTTCTTGGAATTAGTGAAGAATCTAAAGCCTATCGGCTTTATGATCCTACGGCTAAAAGGGTGATTGTTAGTAGGGATGTTGTGTTTGAAGCGAATGAGAGCTGGAATTGGAGGAGGAGTGATGAAGACGTGAGGAGTGATGTCTTTACTTGGGTAGATAGTGATGATGGGGAAATCAGTGACTATGATGAGGAAGAAGAAGAAGAAGGTGAATATGAGGAAGAACAAGTAGAAGGAGCTGATTCGGGTACAGAAGAGTTGGAAGGAGAAAATGATGCTGCTACACCAGAGGAGAGAGTTAGGAGAGCACCTCGATGGATGGAAGACTATGTTAGTGGAGCTGGTCTTTCTGATGAGTCAAACTTGGCTTGTTTTATGGTACATGATGATCCAATATGTTTTGATGAAGCAGTGAAAAAACAGAAATGGAGGAAAGCGATGGATTTGGAAATGGAAGCTATAGAAAAAAATAAGACATGGGAGCTTGTAAGTCTGCCGAAAGGGATGAAGAAAATTGGTGTCAAATGGGTTTTTAGAACAAAGTTGAATGAAAAGGGAGAAGTAGATAAATGCAAAGCACGTTTGGTAGTCAAAGGTTATGCTCATAGGTATGGGATCGATTACAGCGAGGTTTTTGCACCTGTGGCTCGTTGGGACACCATAAGATTGATCTTGGCTCTAGCTGCGCAGAAAGGGTGGATTGTTTTCCAGCTAGATGTCAAGAGTGCGTTTCTTCATGGGGAATTGAAAGAGGCAGTATACGTGGAGCAGCCAGAAGGCTATGTTCGTAAAGGAGAAGAGCATAAAGTCTTGAAGCTTAAGAAAGCTCTCTACGGCTTGAAACAGGCTCCAAGAGCCTGGTACAGCAGAATCGAAGGATTCTTCATGAAGGAGGGTTTTGAGAAATGCAGTCATGAGCACACACTGTTCCTCAAACATGAAGTTGGAGGTAAATTCTTAATTATTAGCCTCTATGTGGATGATTTAATTTATACAGGGAATGACGTGGAACTATGTGAGAAGTTTAAGAAATCAATGAAGCTAGAGTTTGACATGAGTGATTTGGGGAAGATGAAGTACTTTCTAGGAGTTGAGGTTCAGCAGAGTTGTGAAGGGATAAATTTGTGCCAA